TTTAATTATTATTCTTAAATTGAAACTTTAAAATATACCTAGAAGTAATCATCCTATTTGATATAGAAAAATTTCTTTCATTTTGCATTGATATTTGTCAAATTGTTCAGTGTATCCAAAGCATCCTCAGGTTGAGCATTTTGTTTTGTTTTTTTTTTTTTTTTTTTTTAATTTTTTATTGTTGGCTGTTCAAAACATTATATAGTTCCTGATATATCATATTTCACAATTTGATTCAAGTGGGTTATGAGCTCCCATTTTTACCCCATATACAGATTGCAGAATCACATCAGTTACACATCCATTGATTTACATATTGCCATACTAGTGTCTGTTGTATTCTGCTGCCTTTCCTATCCTCTACTATCCCCCCTCCCCTCCCCTCCCTCCCCTCCCCTCCCCTCCCCTCCCCTCCCCTCCCCTCTTCTCTCTCTGCTCCCTCTACTGACATTCGTTTGTCCCCCTTATATTATTTTTCCCCTTCCCCTCACTTCCTCTTGTATGTACTTTTGTATAACTCTGAGGGTCTCCTTCCATTTCCATGCACTTTCCCTTCTCTCTCCCTTTCCCTCCCACCTCTCATCCCTGTTTAATGTTAATCTTCTTCTCATGCTCTTCGACCCTACTCTGTTCTTAGTTACTCTCCTTATATCAAAGAAGACATTTGGCATTTGTTTTTTAGGGATTGGCTAGCTTCACTTAGCATAATCTGCTCTAATGCCATCCATTTCCCTGTAAATTCTATGATTTTGTCATTTTTTAATGCAGAGTAATACTCCATTGTGTATAAATGCCACATTTTTTTTATCCATTCATCCATTGAAGGGCATCTAGGTTGGTTCCACAGTCTAGCTATTGTGAACTGTGCTGCTATGAACATCGATGTAGCAGTGTCCCTGTAGCATGCTCTTTTTAGGTCTTTAGGGAATAGACCAAGAAGGGGAATAGCTGGGTCAAATGGTGGCTCCATTCCCAGCTTTCCAAGAAATCTCCATACTGCTTCCCAAATTGGCTGCACCAATTTGCAGTCCCACCAGCAATGTACAAGTGTACCCTTTTCCCCACATCCTCGCCAGCACTTGTTGTTGTTTGACTTCATAATGGCTGCCAACCTAACTGGAGTGAGATGGTATCTTAGGGTGGTTTTGATTTGCATTTCTCTGACTGCTAGAGATGGTGAGCATTTTTTCATGTACTTGTTGATTGATTGTATGTCCTCCTCTGAGAAGTGTCTGTTCAGGTCCTTGGCCCATTTGTTGATTGGGTTGTTTGTTCTCTTATTGTCTAATTTTTTGAGTTCTTTGTATACTCTGGATATTAGGGCTCTATCTGAAGTGTGAGGAGTAAAGATTTGTTCCCAGGATGTAGGCTCTCTATTTACCTCTCTTATTGTATCTTTTGCTGAGAAAAAACTTTTTAGTTTGAGTAAGTCCCATTTGTTGATTCTAGTTATTAACTTTTGTGCTATGGGTGTCCTATTGAGGAATTTGGAGCCCGACCCCACAGTATGTAGATCGTAGCCCACTTTTTCTTCTATCAGACGGCGTGTCTCTGATTTGATATCAAGCTCCTTGATCCATTTTGAATTAACTTTTGTGCATGGCGAGAGAAAGGGATTCAGTTTCATTTTGTTGCATATGGATTTCCAGTTTTCCCAGCACCATTTGTTGAAGATGCTATCCTTCCTCCATTGCATGCTTTTAGCCCCTTTATCAAATATAAGGTAGTTGTAGTTTTGTGGATTGGTTTCTGTGTCCTCTATTCTGTACCATTGGTCCACCCGCCTGTTTTGGTAGCAGTACCATGCTGTTTTTGTTACTATTGCTCTGTAGTATAGTTTGAAGTCTGGTATTGCTATACCGCCTGATTCACACTTCCTGCTTAGCATTGTTTCAAAATGGTATTTCAAAACCATAAAGCACTGGGGAATTCATGGTTTCTAAATTGGCCATTGTTTTTAGTTCTTTGTTTTGGGTTCCACGCTATGGAATATGTGTTCTATTCCTTAAGAACTAAAATGTGAGTTTAAACTTACTGTCAATCCAGTATGTAAACTGTAGGCATTTTAAAAAATAATTTAATTGTAGAGGGACAATTTATTTATTTTTTTGTTTTTTATGTTATTTATTTTATTCATTTGTTTTTTATATGGTGCTGAGGATCGAATCTAGTGCCTCACATGTGTGAGACTAGATCTCTACCACTGAGCTACAACCCCAGCCCCTAGGCATTTTTATTTACTTTCTTTAATTGTATATTTAGATCTCACTGATAACACTAGTTTCAATGCTGAGAATGACAGAATTAAAATTCCACATAATTACTCATTTAATTTATTATAACATAAGCTCACAATCATCTTAGCATAAGAATATCAACACTACCATCAACAAAATGATTATCGTAGACAGTGTAATTTTTTTTTGTAATTTCTCATATTCTTAGGCTATTTTACACTGATGATGCCAGTAAGTTAGTATATTTTAAAGTTATTTGGGTAGTTATTTTCTATTTGTACTTATGCCACCAACTGAATACACAGATTGATTTTTTATTTTATATTTAAAGTTTGAGATGTTTTAAAATTTAATTTGTTTCATAATAATATGTAATATTTACATGGATCCAAGTTTTTAAAAAAATGGTTAATATAGTTAATGAAGTCTAATTTCAATATCTATGCCTTATTCTCTCCCTCCCTCTTTCCTATATGTTAACTATTTATAGTGTTATAATTTATCTTTGAATTTTATATATATATATATATATATATATATATATATATATATATATATATATATATATATACTTTTTTTTTTTAAGTGTGTGTTCTTTCTTTAAAAAAAAATCAGGAAAATACAAGTTCTTTTTTTCCCAAATGCCCTTTTCACTTAATATATTGGTAAAAAATTAGTAGGTAAAGATATTCACTGTTCATTTTTACATTTGAATTCTCATAAAAAGATGTATCACCATTTATTCTTTCAGAGCACTACTGATGTAGGTTTAGATGGGTATTTATCTTTTATTATAATCCAAAAATGTAGAGAAGTAGGATGTGTGAGTGAGAAAATAAACATTGAGCTGGGGACTCATGACTCAGTTGTAGAGCCTTTATCAAATGTGAGGTCCTGGGTTCTATCTCCAGCACTGCCAAATTAAAAAAATAAAAGAAAGAAAGTAAACAATATGATTTTATATATTATTTCAAGTTCTCCTTCTTAGGTTTGGCAGCACTTTTGTAATAACACCACAGCTCTCTAAAACTACCTATTTTCTTGCAGGCTCACCAGCAGAGTATAATATTCAAGTAGGACTATTGCTAATGTGACAAGTGAGAAATGGAATCTTAGTGTAGTTTTAATTTGTATTTCTCTTTTTAAGTATAGAGAAAAGCATCTTTACATATAACCAAAAATCATTTGTTTTTCTCCTTTGAATTTTTTGTGCATACTTAAATGCCAATTATTTTTAATGCATTGTTAGTTTCTGTTCTTGTCTAAGTGATAAATTGGTATATATCAGGGATGTAAACTTTAGTCTCTGATGTAAACTGGAAACTTTTTCCCAGTTTGTCACATGACTTTATATTGCTTATTTTTCTTGCCATGCAATTTTGTAGTATAATTTAATTTCTCTCTTTTCTCTTATTGCTTCCTGACTTTGAACCATAGTAGCAAAAATTTGCCTACTCTTAAATTAGAGTAAAATGTATCCATACTTTTTACCTATTATTAGTGCTTATATTATATGTTATTTTATTATTGATTATACATAAATATTTTCTCCATTTTGGATTTAGTCTAATAAATTCTATGAAGAATTGAGTACATCCTATCATTTTTTGTATGACTCTCCTACTAGGAGAGGTAATCCTTTATCATACAGTAAATTTCATCTATAGTTTTCCTATTTCTGGACTTTCAAGTCAGTTTTAGTGATTTTTTTTCTATTTTCTCATATAATGTCCAGGAAATTTCTCTTCTCTTCTCTTCTTTTCTTTTCTTTTCTTTCTTTCTTTCTTTCTTTCTTTCTTTCTTTCTTTCTTTCTTTCTTTCTTTCTTTCTGTCTAAACAGAGGAGTAGTTTAATACATTTGGATATGATTACAGAGATATAAGTGTAACTCTTTAGTGTGGACACTTTATTATACTCTCAATTTCTCTATATCCTTGTCTATAAAATAGAAATTACTTACAGAGTTATTGATGATTACTTACATAAATTCTTATCAGTAAAATGGAAATGATTTATGGGGTGATTATGATTGGCTGTTTAAGTAATCATCAGTATAATTTGATTTGACTTCTACATTTGACATCCAAGATTTGACTTAAACATTTTCTTTACTTTAGAACAAAAACTGTTGTATTTACACAGTTTAAGATATACAATTGAAGGGAATTTCTGCAAGAAGGGTATCTAAACTCTAAAATGTCAGTGTTTAAGAAATATTCACCCTAATCATTAAAAGTATCATCAAAGCCTATATTCTAAATTATATGGTTCACATAATAAACTAAATAGTTATTTGTAAAAAAATTTACTGAGATGAAACAGAGCATGTTCATATAAGTTTCCAGGCATCCTGATATTTGGTTTAAATTACTGGTCATTATTTATTACCAGATATGTAGAGAGACCAGGCAGACTATAATTAAGATTTATGCACCATTAACATGTAATCTTATAATCCAAAATTTGCTTTTCTTCTACTTAATATCTCTTTTCATGTGATGAGGTTCCAAATTAATTAAAGAGCTCTCTTAATAAAAAAAATTTGGAAAATCATCCAAACAAATATTTTCCATTCTCTTACTCATAAACTAGTTAATTATATACCACATTTGTGTCTGCTTTCCCTAGACTGCATAATTTTGAAACTTAATTTACTAATAAAATTGTAATTCTGTTGCTCAGTTAATGAAGGAAAATGCACAAAGCAGATACACATATTACTTTTGGTTCTCAGTTATGTGCTGAAATGTCAATGTTTTTCAGGGACTCCTGAGGATTACCCACGGTTTTTCCATATGCATCCTAGGACTGCAGAACTTAGTCTGCTGGAGCCTGTAAACAGAGACTTTCATCAGAAATTTGATTTGGTTATTAAGGTAAATTAAACTAATGTCTAATTTCCTTGTATTTATGAAATGCTAATCAAAGAAAAGCAGAGGCTAATGTAGGCACTTTTATGTTTTAAATATTAAAATGAATGTGAATAGCAATTAACCAAATTTTTGATTAAAAAAGAATGTTAGGTACATTTTTAGTATACTATACTGCTTTTCTCTAAAGCAAATTTATAATTCTATATAATAAAATACTTAATATTTTAATATATAATAAAAGTTTTAGTTAAATATATATATATATATGTATGTATATATATATATATATATATATTTCTACATAATATAATTTATTATGTCTTGCAACATATTTTTTACTAAAAGGTATTAACTTTGGACTACAAAAGAATAATCAATGAGTATATCTAAAATGTACTTGATTTATATTTTTATTTTAATAATATTTTAATCCTTATATAAGAATGAAATGTCTTGCTCAACAACAGATTCATTCAATAGGTGCTCCATTATACTCTTTATGTTGAAAGCTCATTCTAGATCTGAAATATGTTTGAAAGCTAGGGTAATTTGCGCTACAATTTTGATTTAATAATATGTAACATGAAATCAGAAAAGAGATACTGTAGAAAGCTGGATGATTTTCCAATTGATTTCCATGGACTTCATTGAGAAGGTGAGATTTAAATTGGGCATTGAAGGAAGAGTAGGAATTTGCCAAACATAGATGGGGATTGAGAGAAGGGAACTGTAGTGAATGAATGGCTAGCAGCAAAGACACAGAGTAAGTCTAGTTTATATTGTGTGAATTTGTATATCTATGCATACAAAATAATTAGCTATCAAAAGGCTCCCCTTTACTATTTGCTCCTAAAAAGTAAATATTTTCCTTCTTTATTTAAATTTAAAATAATTTTTAAAAAATGAAGTAAAATATAGAAATTTATGGAGCATACATGTTATGTATACATACTTATCTCTGTACACTTTTCATTGGATTGTTGCCATAGTTTTAATTGTATGTTCATTTATACAAACTGTGAAAACTGAAGCTCAGGTAGGGTAAATAATTGGCTCAGGATTACATGACTGATCAGGTATAAAAATGAGATTCAAATTTAGTTTTACCTAAGTTACAAGCATTTTCTTTTCATAGTACAGAATTATTGTTTCTTAGAAAAGGTTATATGATTTAACTATCCGTACATCCAACTGCAAAATATTTTGTATACAGACATTTAATTTTAATTCATATTAGGTGATATATCCTTTGCACCCATTTTAGTATACATGCTGGAAACTGTTTATTAAGTAGTTCCTTGTCCTGGAAGAACTTACATTCCAGAAACAGGTAAATCAAAAATAAAATGTCAAGGGCTAATAAGAAGTCACATAAATAGAAATAACAGAGCACAGAAAAAAAGACATTTAAGTTAATCTGTGGACCCAGAAAAAATTTTATGAATATTACCCCATGCTAAATATTGCTAGATTGAAAAAGTTTGGCCAATGAGTGAAAGTGGGAAATGTGTCTGAACATAAGGAAAACAGAAGTAAAAGCTTGGAGGCAAACATAGCAGGCTATGAGCAGTTAACATAGAAATGAGCTGTAGTTTCAGACCATGGAGAGAATCTGATGGATGGATACAATTTCCTTGGATTTCATTCAGTAAGGCAGTAGGAGTCATTCAACCAAGAAACACTACTTTTACCATTTGTATAAATTGGCTACACATGTGATTAATCTTTCATTGATGATTTTAATTATCATGGAACTATATAAAACTAAGAAACATGTACCCATGATCTACTGTCATCTACCTGAAGTATTGTGGTGCTGCTCTCTGTGGAAGTTAAGAAACTTGACAAAACAAACTGGTGCATTTGAAACCAGAAATCAATTTTTTCCCTTTTATTATCAAAGTCAGCTGTCCTGAGTACTGTACAACTTAGCCCATCAATTATAGGAAAAAAATCAATTAGAACTGGTCATAGATAATTCCTTTATGTTTTAATAACATTTTATATTTTAATAGAAGTTTTTACAGATGTTATTAGACTCAAATTGCTGTGTTTTGTGTGCAATCAAGGGGATAATAAGCAAAGGTATCAATCTGTAAGAATAATAATGTGCCTCTTGCTTGAATAATAGCTGAGTTTTGTGGCATTGTTCAGGGATCCATTGAAACTCTACAGTCTGGCACTTCCCTGTAGTATGCCTTTGAACATTTCCCCTTTTTTATTTTAATAATGCCTCATTTTTCTTGGCTATGAAAGATTTTGTTGGACTAGATCCCAATTTCTGTTTTGGAAGCTAAGAAAAATAAAAGAAAATGAAGTATCTTCTCCTAGACTTTGAAGAATTGTGCTTTAAAAAACCATGTGAGCATTTAACAGCTGGTGAGGGACACAAATTAGAGATTTATCATCCTCATTTTTTTTTCTATTTCTGCCACTGATTTAATCAGTATACTGACAAGTAAAAATGTAAAGGTGAAGCTGGGAAGAGAAAATGGAGTAGTTCACAAACTTGAGCACATTAAAGGATTGAAACATGTCCAACTGAAAGAGTGAAGAATATTCTATTTTAAAATTCTATCTTAAACTTCAAATAATTACCTTTGTTTAAGGACATTTTGAAAAGTGATACATTCTGTGAAACATGTATTGGGTTCCCCAGAACAGTTCATGTTTGTGCCTGTTGTCCTTGAATTAATGTCTGTAGCACATGTTTCATTCAAAGAGTTGTTCCAATTTGGATGATAAGATATATGTTCACTATATTCACAGAGTTTTAAAAATCCTATAAAGTAGAATATTAAAGCATATTTGATATGCTAGGTGAATTTAGTTCATGTGTGGAGCTAAAACAAATCACAAAAATTCACTTTCATTTTTAAAAGTGCAGTATCTTAAAGGCATTATTGTCAATATATTCGTACTCCAGACATCTCTTCACTGTAATATACTGATTTTAAGTCCTTTGGGTATAAACCAAGGAGTGGGATAGCTGGTTCAATTGGTGGTTCTATTCCAAATTTTATGAGGAATCTCCATAATGTTTTCCATAATGGTTGCACCAATTTGCAGTCCCACCAGCAATGTATGAGTGTGCCTTTTCCTTTACATCCTTGTCAACACTTATTGTTGTTTGTATGCATAATAGCTGCCATTATGACTGGTGTGAGATAAAATCTTAGGGTAATTTTGATTTGCATTTCTCTAATTACTAGACATGTTGAATATTTTTTTCATATTTCATTTGTTGATCGATGGTATATCTTCTTCTGAGAAGTATCTGTTCAGCTCCTTAGCCTATTTATTAATTAGGTTGTTTGTTTCTTTGGTGTTTTTTGAGTTCTTTATATATCCTGGGGGTTAGTGCACTATCTGATGTGCTTTTGGCAAAAATTTGCTCCCCAAATGTAGGTAGGCTCTCTGTTCACTTCATTGATTGCTTATTTTGCTGAGAAGAAGCTTTTTAGTTTGAATCTATCCCATTTATTAATTCTTGATTTTATTTCTTGCACTTTAAGAATCCTGTTAAGGAAATTGGGGCCTAATCCAATATGATGAAGATTTGGGCCTACTTTTCCCCTTATTAGATGTATGGTCTCTGTTTTCATGGTCTTTAGTTTTTCTCCCACACAAATCATCTCTCAAACCTTAGCTTCTTTTCCTTGTATCTCAACCATGTTCCCACATCACCAAGAGAGTATCAATGAACCAATAATAATGAAAATACATCAGGCTGCTGCATATTGCCTTCATGTCACTTTACAATTTGCCACCTGCATGAATCTCCACCAGAGATTTTTGTCATGTTAAAAGATCAGAGGTGTCAGATTCAGACAGAATGTGGAGTCAGATTATCAGGCATCACTTCTTCAAATAAAAATGATGAAATCTCCTTTGGAAATGAAAGAACTACCAAAACTCATTGCATGTGAAATACAAGTTACTGGGTTTTTTTTCCTCCATGGTGTGTGCATTATAAGTTTATTTACAAAAAGATAAACAAAGAGGAGAACAGAACACCACAAATTCTCCCTTTGGGAGAGATAGAACAGAAGCCATCAGTGACCTAGGGTTTAGACCCCCTCACCCCCAACACACACACAATCAGGGCTGCTTTTGACCAACCACAGGAAGCAAGGCAAATGCTATGAATGACACACCTTCAGACCTCTGGATATATTCTGGCCATGTACTCTTAGTCTTATAAATTCTTGAAAGAATGAAATACACATATAACATGTTCTCATCTGTCAGTGTGAACAACTATAACAAATTGGTATATACTGATTTATACTCAGCAGAAACTTGTTTCACACTGTTCTGGTGGTGGGAAAACTGAGATCAGGTGATTTGTGATCAGCAAGATTGGGTTGTGGTGAGGTGCCTCTTCTGGGTTGCAGATTGCCAAACTCTTGTATCCTTATATAGAAGAAAGCGTGGAAGGGAGCCATCTAAAGAGGCTTTTATAAGGGCATTAATCCCATTCATAAATCTTTGACCCTCAACCTAATCAACCTCACAGAGCCACCATCTCTTAATAACATTATATCAGGGATGAAGTTTAAAACATGAATTCTGGGGACACATTTATTCCATTGCATATCTAATCTTAGTTAAACAGGTTAGTAAAGAATAATTTCATATCCTTTTTGCAATAGCAAGGTCCCCAAGGTAAGCAAAAGTGAAGATCCTTTTTACATTTTAGATAAAATCATCCCATAAAAATTTCAGGCAATATTGCTATTAGTAATAAAATAGCACTCTTTTCATGGATATTCTAAAACTTCTTGACCAATTTCATACAGTGGTAAATATTCAAATTTTAAAATTTTTGTTTTACTTTTTTGATTGTAGTAGATTACCACATAAAACCTTATTTTTGTTTCTTCAGCAATAGTACTGAGTCATTTTATTTCCTCCTGAAAAATTATAAATATTAAGGCATAGTTAATTATTGTTATGCCAATTATGGGAATTAATAACAAGAAAAAACTGTATGGAGACCT